CTCTCTCTCTCTCTCTCTCTCTCTCTCTCTCTCTCTCTCTCTCTCTCTCTCTCTCTCTCTCTCTCTCTCTCTCTCTCTCTCTCTCCCCTTCCCCTTGCTTCTTCTCCCCAGTCCTGTAGTATTCTTCATGAATATATGTCCACCAGTAATCGTTTCCTACCCCCTCAGGCCTTTTCTCTATCATGCTCGTCCTCTCTCAGTTCCTTTCTCTCCTCCTCCTACCCTCTCACTACTACTGCCGTCTTAACCTGAAAAAAAAAGTGTACCTACGTTTTATTCAACATACCTCTGAAAATCAGGTTCTCAGAAATCGCCGTCTTTTTTTCAAATAGAACGTACGTTGGAATACAGCGTACATATATAAAACGTACATCAAATACATACAGAGCACATTTGGAACATACATCGAATAGAGCGCACATTTTCAGCATGTGTTGTCATTATTCTCTGAACTTTCCAGAGAAAGGAAATATGTTGTACAACATTGCAATGCAAAGTTGCAAACAACTTTTTTTTTTTTTTTTTTTTTTTTTTGAAGGCGACGGCCTTGATATATTACCATTGAGCTGACCGGCCCCAGACAATTCAAATTCATTAGTAGTTGGTTTTACTCATAAAGTGGTTCCATCATCTGGATTCGAACAGGGGTCTGTATTTTCAACAGTTCATGGGTGTGGTCCCCACTGAGCTAGGCTCTTGGGTAAGTTGCAAAGAACTTTTGCCTTTGCCTGAGGATCCTGTCAAAATCCGCAACCAAAAGTGAGAAAAAAAAAATGAATAAGAGAATAGAAGAGTTCTTGTTTTTTTGGCAGAGATTCGGTTTACTGATTTATTCTACAATTTCGAATTCATTTTTTTTATTCTTGAAAACATCCGAGAAAAGAATATGGTGTACAACATTGCAATACAAACAACTTTTGCCTGAGGGTCCTGTCGAAATTCCCAACCAGATTCGGGAAAACAAAAATGAAAACGAGTACACTGGTACCAGGGTCTCAAAAACTTGTACTCCGGAAGTCGTTATATAATGTACGTCGTTATATAATGTACGTACATCGTATTCGAATAAAACCTAACCCGTACGTTCTATTCATATACAAAGTACGTACGTACTTTTTTTTTGGGGTTAAGACAGTAGTTATGGGTGCTTGCCCTACTACCTTCACATATGGCTGCCTGCCCAAACTCTCTCTCCTTCCCCAGTGGCAGCAAGGCAGCGTCGTGCACAGCTCCAGCGCACTGCACACAGCTCCGTTGCAAGTCACAAGTGGACTGGGAGCAAGAATAGAGCAAGAATATATTCCTTGGACCGACCGGCTGGGCCCCAATGGATGCTTGAGATCTACTGTCGTGCGCAGCTGGGATGCTTGTGCTGTCTGGCCCAGTGCACATGGATGCATTTGAAAACCCTTGATCCGTGGCCAAAATTGCTTTCTGGAGAAATCTTTCTCTTTGACTTCTCAGCCCAGGCAAATCCTGGCCTGACTGCTGATTTCCGCCGGGCCTGATAAGGCGTTTCCAGACCACATGTCCAGAAGGCCCTCTTGACCCCATTTCTACCAGTGCAAGGACTTTTTAGACGGGTTGGAGGCCCCTACAGAACTAGCTTCAGCCAACACCTAGGAGTGCACACAAACATCATAGACCCCATTTTACCAGACTAAGGACCTTGCTGTTCGAATCCTAGGACCCTGAAACAGAAATATTTTTTTCCCGTAAGCTTCACTTTATCTACCTCAACAAAGAATTCCCGCTTCCTTCGCAAGGGAGCCTAACACCGAGAGGCGCAATCACAGACCGAAAAAACTATCCAGATCAGACTCACACTTTGAGGAACCTGTTTCTGTGCTGGTTTTCGGGGAATGCCTAGGACAGATAGTGTCATTCGAACTTGCGTCGACCCATGATCTACACTGCTCTGCACTCCACTGCACTACAATGCACTGCAAAGAACGCCAAATCCTGATCGCTAGAACAGACAGAGTCCGCCAAAAATCCCAGTACAGCAGATCGAGACCACACAAACTGGGCGCCCCTCCACGCCAATACGTCCCACCAACAGATCTCACCAACCAAGCGCTACATCCGACTTCAAGACGAGATCAACACGACATGCATACACCCACCATTTCGAAGTGAAACATGTGGGGGGTTAAGTGCAAATCCTAAACAGGGTGGAATACCTGATAATTCTGCAACTGTTGTTTGTACTGCCTCTCTTTATCAAACGACATGCATAGACCATCATTTCGAAGTGAAACATGCAGGGGGGTAAGGCTATCGCGGCACCTGTGCTTTTTCATCAATCAATTAACTCAAAGAGAAGTTTCCACGGGTGCTGCAAATCCTAAACAGGGTGGAATACCTGATAATTCTGCAGCTGTTGTTTGTACTGCCTCTCTTTCGATGCCATCATGCCCACAAACTCCTGCCATTTAGACATTGGCCCATTCTGCATCGCTGCCTCCTCCTCCAACTGTGACCAAAGTCTGCGTACAGTCCGAACCGAGCACATTGACAAAAAGTGTGTTCATCAGTTCAGTGATTCATTCCAGTCACACAGCCCCATTGCCAAGTTGTCATCCAGCCGATGAGAGACTCCTTGCAGCTCAAACCCGCAAAATTAGCCTTGCACTGAACACAATAAGAAGCGTGAAGTGCATGTACTCACCAAGTGAATCAATCCATAATCACAGAGGGCAATCCATGCAAAACAGCAGCAAGTCATCACATGTTGTCACTGCCAGTACCTTTCCCCGCTTCAAAACATGGCTGTGCCGGCAACCGGCCGGTTGGACCGGGCCGGATCCAACCAGGCCGGTTGGACCCCCAGTGGTCCAACCGGAATTCCAGTTGGGCCCAAAAGTGGGTCAAAAAAAAAAAAAAA